ATTTTTAAACTGTGTGTCATAAATCAACATCTCAGAAAAATGTTATGTGGTTTTAAATCAAAATATGAATTTCTGTTACGAAACAGGACGATGATTTCATAGATGTCCTCATATGAGGACACCGGGACTAAACGCATGTTTATTACGCATTTTGGGAGACACAACGAATATTACACTTCTTTTTTCATTACATGTTGCCCCAGAAACACATTAATATGCAAATTAGATTTAGTTTATAGATACATCATATATAATGAGAAAACCTGTTTGTGTCCATTTTACACACATTTTGCATGAAGAAAAATGGTATATCAAATCATTCTGTTATAACATAGTTGAGAATTATCTTTATACAAAGTTTGGTAAAAAAAATCCTGAAAACTAAAAATGTATTTTTTTTGCCTATGCATGTTCATTCATGTTTTTTCATTTTTTAAAAGAAATTGAGTCCAGATGTCCTCTACCAAGGACGTAGCATAACTTATGAATGAACTTTTTTTTTTTTTTACATTTTTTTAATGCTCTAAACAATGACATCAAAACAATAAAAAAAAATTCCTAAGATGTTTTGCCGGGTCTTAAGAGGCTATAGTAGACCTAAGTCTATTGTAAATGTACACAACACTTAGTGAAGAAGAACAACAGTGCTGCTGAGCTTTCTTTCATTAACAGAAGAGATGTGATCTGTATTGTGCAATGAGAGTTAAGCGCACATCCAAGCAACTCAAAACAAACATTGGTTGTGTAACTGAAAAGGACAGTCCTAGAAATGATCCTCATGAGCACAAACTCCCACCTGTGCATCCTACTTGCAAAGTGTTGATTCATGATTTGAACATTCATGATGATTCATCCTGTTTGCAAAAATGCAATGTAATGAAACTTGTCGAATCAGTCAGCAATGATTTATTCACAACCTTATAATTATATACACATGGGCAAAACAAAGTTTAAATGTTAAACAACCTGCTGCCATATAATAAATACCTACTCAGTATAGATGTTTTTAGAGGAGTCTCTTATGGTCACCAAAGCTACATTTATTTATTTAAAAACAGCAATATTATGAAATATTTTTACAATAAAAAATAGCTGTTTTCTATTTTCATGTATTTTAAAAAGTCATTTATTCCTGGGATGGCAAAGCTGAATTTTTAGCAGCCATTGCTCCAGCCTTCAGTGTCACATGATCCTTCAGAAATAATTTTAATATGCTGATTTGGTGCTCAAGAAACATTTCCTATTATTATCAATTTTTAAAACCATTGTGCTGCTGAATATCTGTGTGTAAACCTTGATCAGTTTAATGCACCCTTGCTGAATAGAAGTATTAGTTTCTTTCAAACAGCACAAAAATCTTTCTTCAACCCCATAAACTCCCCAGATATATATATTTTTTCAATGATACAGTAATGAGCTTTGAAAATATATTCCACTAATGCACTCTTAGCCCCCTAAGGAAAGTCAAATCTCATACTGCAGTGCCAGTTCTTGTACAAGCACCATGCGTTGTCATTCCTGTAAACCAGTTGATAACGGTTGAAAGTTGTGTAATTTGCATCTCTCTCTCTCTCCATCTCTGTTTCTCTGTCCAAACACTGTACTGTGTTCCAGACTGCGGGGGCTGGGGACTGAGTGACCATGGTCAATAATGAGTCAATCTGTTGATCAATCAGAAGGGTTCATATGGGATGTGCAAGCAGTGAGAGTCTGTATTCTGCACAGAGAAGCCAGAGATGAAGCTCACACATTCGCTCCTCTGCCTGTTCGTGGTCGTGTCCTCTGCCTTGGTGAGTGATTTCTTCACGCATTTAGTCTCTTATCACTAATCACTAACAAACAGTCAATACATTTCCTTTATTCAATCTTTATTTTAACCTATTTGAATTCTTAAATTATGACCACTAATTAAATATTTATTTTATTTTTCAGTCAGAGGACACAGTCGTGAACCCTAGAGGTGCTCGTCCTATTGAACACGGCTACAAGGCACAAGACACCTGTAAGACAAACGAATGGCCTATGTGTACAGATGATGACTGGGTATGTACTAGTATTTAATTATTATTTAAGTCATAAATATCAAGTCAAGGTTTCATTAAGGACTGAAAATGTAATGCCCACCAGGAAGTTGGCTAAAGATAGCAAATACCCATTTAAATTCTTCAGGGAACCAAATGTCCATCCGGCTGCCGAATTCAAGGCCTCATAGACAAAGCTGACCATGATATCATCAAGAAGATTGAGAAGATTCGTCGTCTCCTGGACGAGGGCCGGAAACTGTATCGCTCCACTGATCAAGTGTCCAAAAACACTTATACTTACCTAAGAGAGCGACTGACCTCTAGCGCCGGTAAGAATTCGCTTCGATTCCGTCCTTGATTTTTGGAAATTTTGATCATTCATGCCAAAGATAAAGTTGATTTGTGGAAGTTCACAGAAGTATTTTCAGAAGACACTATAGAAAATATTTCCTCCTTCCTCTTAGGTAATGATAACAGGTACAGCACCTTGGCTGAACAGTTGAGACAGAGGATTACTGATATCAAGATTAAAATTGACCGTCAACTTCGGTTACTGGACGCTCTGAAGTCGCAGGTCAAAGATCAAGTTGTTGTAATTCAGCGACTTGAGGTGAGCAAAAGATAAAAAAGTGCATTTTATTGTCTAATATTGTATTTTATGAGAAATATATGGAAGCCCTTTGAGAAAAAAAAATTAAAAATATGATTGCAAGAGAAAGTTTAAAATAATTATATAAATCACAATTATGAAAAATAAAGTAACAATTACCTTTTATTTAAAATGATTGGAAACATGTTTCCATGGAAAGTGACATCTTTGTACTTACACCAAATATGCCAACAAAAATGGCATAATATGAAATAGCATAAATATGAAAAATATGAATTGTCACTCTTGTTATTTGTATTTTTAAAGAAATATTTATGTTTATTATTTTTTATAAATGTGTATTATTTATTTCATAAATATTTATTTATTTCTCTCTTCACTGATTTCTTGACATTCTCCCAATATTATCTCTTGGCGTAGGTGGACATTGACATCAAACTACGCACATGCAAGGGCTCTTGCGCCAGCTAC